TCCTTGGTCTAAACTGTTCACCCCCGTCCTCGTGGTTTGTTGGAGCCTTAAACCCTAAACCCTGCCCCTCACTAAGAGCCTTAAGTGCCAGCCTTTCCTCCCATTACTCCCGCCTTCCAGTAAAGTACCGACCAGTTCCTTCTGTATCTCCTTACTGATGCTATTTCCCTGTGTGCTCCTTCCCTCATTAACACCCTGCTTATCCACTGCCCTCTTCCCTTCCTTGACAAAAACCCCTGGCTCAGCATCTCTTCCCGAAGCTTGTGACGAGCGGCTCGAGTGTCAAGGGCGGTAGACCATGTGAAGTCGATCTTAAAGCAACACTTAGACCGAAGAACCCCCATCGACCCCAACCTTTCAAGTCATAGCTTCTTCCTCCGGTGATGTCTGTTGCCGCTCAAACCTATCCGGAGTTGAGTTATGCCAGTCCTTCCAGCGCACCCCATCTTCTCGGATCTCAGCCACCTTGCCGTTGATCAGCCAGTTCCTGTTGAATTCCGCCCTCATTTTCTTCCGCTGATCTTCATCCTCGTGCCACATCAGCCTAATTCTCCGCCATCTGCACCAGTTCTCCGCCTGAATCATTGACTTGGGCTCCTTCCATACCTTATCCCTTGGGTTGGAAAGTCCTTTGATTGACCTGCTGCATCTCTCCTTCCATATCCCCCATAGGGTCACCTTCCTGATGAGCTCGAACCAGATCCTTTCCGCTTTCCGAGTCATTGTGGGGACGTTAGTGAGGAGGAGTAGTTGGATGGGTTGCTCAGGGAAAGGGGATGAGAAAAAGTGAATCCCACAGGGATGAGGCTCTGGCCCAGCAGTCTGTCGCCTCTACGCAGTGCACCACACCGTGGACTATATCTTCTACTACTCCTGCTGAGCTGACCGTACATGTCTCCGAGCTGTCTGGAATAGTAGCCTTTCGTCTAGTGTGCAGCCACTGGTTTACTGGTAAAGCAGCGTTCGCTATCAACCACTGCAGGTTTCTGATCTTTTTTTGTAGCCTTTTTTCAGGCTCCTTTAGTTTGGTTCAATGGAAGGGGAGTGTGTGCTAATTTCCGCTGTGAGCAGCTGATAGTGTCCCCTTGCTCTACCCTCTTGTCTTTACTTTAGTCCCAATTTGTGAAAAGCAGGGTTTCCCCTTGTAGTTTCGCTATTTTTTCCTCCACTAGCCATAGTTTTATGAACTTCTTCCTTCTCTGTTCTCTCTTGTCTGGTTGTGGTATTCTTTGTAGTTCCTTTTGTTCCCTCTGCCACCGGGCCCTAATTTCTGTTTGTATTATGTTTTTAAATTCTACCCTCTTCTCCTCCATACTCAGCGTCTGTCCCTCTAGGGTCCCCTTGCATCTTGCTTTCCAGATTACCCATAGTGTTGCCCTTCTCCACAACTCCGCTACCGCTTGAACTTCCTCGTCCATCTGCTCATTTTCTGTTCTTCCTGACAACAAGTAAAGCGAACTGGACGGGAATTCACTTCCCGTTAGCTTTGCCCAAAGGTCTTTTGTTTTCCTCCATAACTCCTGCGCTCTTTGGCATGCGATGAGACAGTGGACCACCGATTCCTCTGCATTCTCATTGCACACTTTACACTCGACCATTTGCAAGGGAGGCTCCTCCTGTTTTCTTCTTTTGGCCAGCCATTGGTTGACAGGCAATGCCCAATAGATTAGAAGCCATTGCAAGCCCCTGATTCTGGTCGGCCTTATGCTCATGTATTGCTTCCATGGGATGTTCGTATACCAGCCTGCGCTTTCGCCCATATTTTTTTTCCATCTTTCTGATATCACTGGGAGCGGGTTCTTTGCGTGGTTGCCTATTCTATAGCCCATTTTGGCCTCATAGTTATAAATTGGTATAAGCTTTTTGGCCCTACCCGACGAGTTGGGCTCATAGTTATAAATTGGTATAAGCTTTTTGGCCCTACCCGACGAGTTGGGCACCATCCACCCCCATTCAGCCGGGTCTACCTCTAGATCCCGAATGTCGAGCTCCGGTCTAAAAAGTTTTACCTTGCTTGGCTCTGATTGATTTGCACGGTTCCGTCTTGGACCTTTCCCAAACGTGCCTGCTCTTACTTTTCTAAGGGAGCTAAGATCCTTTTCCTCCCTCGGGTTTATAATCTTCCCTAACTCTACCCACGACTTGTGTTGTTCTTTTAGTTCATATGAGACGAACTCTGCCCTCCCCTCTTCTGTGTTGAGTATTTTCGTCAGTCTGAGAGCCACGTTGGGGACTTCCTGGTCGCTTGCTGTTGCCCAATCTCCCTCTTCCCATTTGATTTTTCTTTTAAGTAACACCACCCAGTTTAGCGGTATACTCTCCAGCATGTTTTCTAGCTGAAACCTTAGGTTATGTACTCGTTTGAGTTTGGTTCTGAGTTCTTGAGAGGGCTGTCTCAAGACCTCCTCTTTAGTTTTCGGTGTTCTAATCTTTTGTGGAAAGCATGATCTCCAGTGTTTGATTAGTGTTGCCCAATGTTCACTTGGTGGATCTTTGCCTCCCGACTCTCTCCCACCTTCTCTTCTTCTAGGATTCCATGACGCATTTAGAATCCAATGGTAGCCCTCAATGGACGGGTCGGCTTGAAACGGCACCAGATTACGAATTTGATGCAGTGCCATTTCGTGCCATGGCAATTCCTTGTTAAAGAGCAGTTTAATGACCCACTTGTGTTGTAGAGCCTGGAATTGCACTGCCGGATTTAAAACACCCAGACCTCCTTGTTGTTTTGGTCTAGTGATATATTTCCATGCTACCTTACTAATGTAGTGCTCTTTATCCGCATTACCCGTCCATAGATAGGCCCCTAGTTTCCTTTTGAGGGCTGAGAAAAAGCTTGCTGGTGGGTTCCACAGGGAAGCTACATACCAACCCATTGAGAGGATTGAGGTTTTAATTACTAGCACTCTTCCCATAAGGGATACATAATTTTCTTGCCACCCAGCCAGCTTACCCATCATCTTGAGTAGCAGGCCATCTCCCGTCTCTTTGCTCGTGCCTTCCACTGAGACTTGAATTCCCAGAAAACGCATCGGCTGTTGGGAGTCCAGCCAGAGAAGACCTTGTGTGTCTTGTGTCTGTTGAGGAGGGTTTGACGGGGCTAACCACCACCCTACCGTTTTCTTCCAGTTTATCTTCATTTCCGAGGCGAGCTGAAACGCTTGCATTGCCTTAGTTAGGGCTAAAAAGGACGAGTCAGATGCTCTAATTAGTACGGTCAAATCATCTGCAAAAAGAATAGTTGTCGGGATGTGAATTTGTTTTTCTCCGTGCTGGGCTATGAGTCTTTCTATGGATGGATCCTTTCGCAGGAACGCTGCTACTGCTTCCATTACAAAGAGAAAAATAGGTGCTGCTAGCGGGTCCCCTTGCCTTACTGATCTGGTCATCTTATAATTGTCGGATAGGTGCCCATTGACTTGCACCATACTTTGCTGTAATTTGGTCCATCTTACTGATCTGGTCATCTTATAATTGTCGGAAAAGTAGAGCACGCTTATCCATCTCCTGAAATTTGGTCCAACTCCAATTTTTTCCATACTTTGCTGTAAAAAATCCCAGTTCACTTGATCGTAAGCTTTTTCAAAGTCGAAAAATAGTATGGCTGCTTGCATTTTCTTGTCCCTAATCAACTTTGTGGCCTCGTTCAGGCCCACCATCTCTTTCTCACCCTCTCGCTACCTGACTTCTCAGTATCTGCGGACTACGAGAGAGAGAGAGAGAGAGAGAGAGAGAGAGAGAGAGAGAGAGAGAGAGAGAGA